AGAATGGATATAAATGCACTGGAAAACGTACAGAGGAGGATGACAAAGTTGATCCCATGTATCAGCAATCTTCCCTATGAGGATAGACTGAGGGCCCTGAATCTGCACTCTCTAAAAAAGCGTAGATTTAGGGGGGGTATAAACCATACCACGGACGGGGATATAAATGGTGTATAAATGAGGTGTGTAAATGGAAGACAGGAATAAATAAAGGGGATGTAAATAGAGTGCTGAAAATATCCAGCTGAGACAGGACTCGCAGCAATGGCTTAAAGTTGGAAAAGTTCAGATTCAGGAAGGATATAGGAAAGCATTGGTTTGGTAATAGAGTTGTGGATGAGTGAAGCAAACTCCCGAGTACCGTTATAGAAGCTAAGACGTTGTGTAGTTTTAAAAATAGGTTGGATAAATACATGAGTGGGTGTGAGTTGGACTTGACTAGCTTGGGCTACCAGGTCTGGTGCCGTGCTCCTTCCTTAAGTGGAAGTGGCCTGACTAGGTGATCATTGTTCTAGGCCGGGGGGGGGGCGGTGGCATGGACCTGCTTCACATGGGTCAGTAGGCCTGTTGCAGTGCTCCTTCTTTATGTTCTTATGTTCTTAATTAGTGGGTTTAACGATACCAACGCTAAGGAGCTGCCATCCTTATATTTCGAGATCTCAGATTGTCAGCCGCCTCTTTTTATTTCCTTAACGTAGGTCACCTGTACGTTAAATGTTATTTATGTACATTTAAACTGGTCTCAGACCGAGCCGAGGGGGCATTGACCCCCGAAACCCTCTCCAGGTAAACCCAACCTTACTTAATAACCTAGTATAATGAATATATTTTTTCGAGGCATAGTTTTGGCAGCTGTGCAGGAAGTATAATTCGTGAGAAAAGAGTGGTACTCTGTGAAGGACAGATTAGTGGCAGCCAAGAAACCAACACCGTATACAACTGTGGCTGGTTAATACTTGGTAACCTCTCCCACCCACCATGGCCTTGGTGTGTAACTCAGCAGCTGGTGTGTACGTTCGGTCTCCCCTCTTCCCCTCCGCGTCCCTCCATCTCTCCCTCCCCTCCCCTTTCCGTCCCTCCCTCACTTCCCTCCATCCCTCACTTCCCTCCATCCCTCACCCCCCTCCATCGCCCCCCGCCCTTCCATCGGCCTCCCTCTCTCCCATTCTTGCAGCTGTCTCTCTCCTCAACCAGAAATTGCTATGGTACGCTTGTGTCAAAGACAGGAAACCCGTGGCTCATCTCACGAGATAGCTCATCAGACCCCACATACAACGTTCGTTTTTGGACGCGTTTCAGTTGAAACACACTAGAATTAAGATGTAGTTATTTTAAGTGAGGTTAACCAAATTTAAATTAGCCTGTTGATATATATAACTCTGATGATTAAATTACAAGGAAACCAGTCTGTAACAGTTAAAAAGAGTCGGGAGCAGAAACTATGAATTAGCCCCTGCTTATTTTACATCTGTTTGTCGATCTCCGGCTTGCTGGCTTGATTGGCCAGACTGTTGGCGCTTACCCGCAAATACACCAACATATGCATCACAGTATGTCTTATCCGGAACTAACTTGAGAAATTTATCAAGTTTCCAGTTGATAACTAGACATCTACCACCCTACCTGTATTTTACCTGTATAGTGTTCCGAGGGTCAGCACCCTCTCTGCCCGGTCCTAGACCAGGCTTATCGGCGAATCGCCTGATTAATCAGGTTGTCGATGCTAGGAGCACAATGCAAGTATAACGCCACAGCCCGGCTGATTAGGCACTAACTTGAGAAACTTGTCCATTTTTGTCTTGAAGACAGCCAGGGGTCTGCTGGTAATCCCCACTTATGTTTGGAGGACGTTGAAAAGTCTTGGCCTCTTCACACTTATTGAGTTATCCCTTGGAGTACTTAATACTCCCCTGATTTTCACTTGGGGTATTTGGCACCGTCGCTCCCTTCATGCGTGAGGGGGATAACCATCAACCTCGTAGCTGTCTTCAAGAAGGAACCCGATAGATTCCTCAGAACGGATCCTGATCACAATTATTATTATTATTATTATTATTATAATCAAGGGGGAAGCGCTAAACCCGGAGGATTATACAGCGCCTGGGGGGGGGGATGTGGAAGGCATTCAGGCTTAATTCGGGGAACTGGAGCACAGATCCAATTCCCTAAATCAAGAGCCCCTCACCAACATCAAGGAACCTTCCTTGAGGGGTCCTGATCACAAGAGTTGTGGTGCATACGTTGGAGTGCGGGCGGCGGGCACTAACAGCTTGGTCGATGAGGCCAGCAACCTAGAAGTTTGGTCTGGGACCTGGCCGTGGGGGCGGTGACCTCCGGAAGCGACTCCATGTAATTTTCCTTACGCATGGAAGGAGCGTGTTGGAAGAGTCCTAGACCCCTTACACTTATTAAATTTTCTCTATGTACTCACTATACATGAATACCAAATTAACAGGTTTAAACTAGAAATAGTTAAAAGTGAAGTCATTAAATATTTATTTAATCTTAGGGTTTCAAGAAAATGGAATAAGTTGTCTGTAGAAATGATGGAAGTGAAATTCATACGCAGTTTTTAGAATAGGTATGATGTCCCTTCCGGTTGACAGTTGGAGGCAAGATCAGGAGCTGAGAGTAAACTTCCACCAACAGTACTCAGCGAGGTTAACCTAACTTGAATTAACCTATATTTACTTGCACTTAACTCCAATAACGAAATTACAGTGAAAACAGTTGAACTCTCTCGGCTCTTATCAGAGTTTGTGGAAGAGAAACTCGAATACAAGAATCGCTCTTTCGTATTCTGAGAGTCTCTTCACTGTTGGTACAGATAAACAGAGAAGAGAAAAGGTAGGACATTAAAAGACTAGTGAAGGGTGTTTGACCTAAGTCTCTCCTGGTATCGCATACCGACACCAATATAAACAGACTAGTGAAGGGTGCTTGACCTAAGTCTCTCTCCTGGTATCGCATACCGACACCAATATAAACAACGGCTTCGTCTCATTATTGGTACACCATACTCCAATTACCTTCATTAAATCTCGTCGGTTCTTACCCTGCCTTTTATTTTTATAATTATTACCTTGGTATAATTATCATCAAGGAAGTTGTTTCCTATTATGGGAAAATAAAAATAAAAAGAATATAATGAAAAGGAGGTAAAAAAAAATGGTATGGACAGGTCTTCCCCAGAAGAGAGCAGAGGTTTGTAGTCACTGTGACGGTGATTATAGGTGGCTGCTCTCGATGATGAGGAACTGAAGAATGGAAGATCACACCAACACAGTCCCGTAACAAATGCTGAATTCCAAGAATTCGTAATGAGTCTGTTTGTCTGTGGTTTGCTTCAGATCACAGCGTCTTAGACAAATAGAGCTGACAAAGGTTACCAGATCGTCACACAAAATTACACTGATCATTGAAGGCGCAATGGTAACCACTACTGAGAAATAAACTACCCAAACACTGAAGAACAAGTTCACCGCCAGATTGCTCTGCCTTCTCACCTGTTAGCTGTATAGTCCTTGTGGCTTAGCGCTTCTTTTTGATTATAATAATAATTCTCACCTGTTAAACGGACTTCTCTCCCAAACTCTCTGCTCTTATGAAATCTCCTGTTCTCTGAATTTCATATATTTCCAGTCTTTCTGATCTAAACAACTCTCTTCGTTCCTTAAACATCAAACTTAGTTTTCGCCAAACTAACACCCTTCGTAATAGTTTAGTTCATACCTCTCCTCCTGCTATATTATTTTTATCATGGGGAGCGCTAAACTCGTAGGATTATACAGCGCATGTGGGGAGGGGATATGGAAGGTACTCAGGTTCACTTCAGGGAGCCAGAGCATAGATCCAATTCCCTGGATAAAGAGCCCCCTCACCAGCGTCAAGGAACCTCCCTCGTGGGGTCCTCCTGCTATAGATGTCCCTGGCGTTTACTCTGTTTCATGCTCTTCTCCTCTCCAATATTTTGGAGAAACTGGCTGACCTCTTTCTGATAGACTTAAAGAGCACAAAAACAGTAAAAAAAACACAAAAAAGGGTTAGGCTTGCCGACACCAGTAATGCTTTTTCTGTCATATTAGAGATCAGTCATCTTATTGACTGGTCCTCTGCCAAAACTGTCTACTTCTAACCTTCACAGTGGCCGTCTTGTTGAAGCATCCCTTTATACACAGCTTTCCTAGTATGAATCTTAGTCTTGGCTCCAAACTTCAGACTTTAATTATCATAATCATGGGGAGCGCTAAACCCGTACGATTATACTCCAAACTTTAGAACACTCGTGACTTGACCTGATCCTTTCCTATTTTTAATTCTTTGCTTTCCTTTTCTTCTGCCTACTGTGTTCTGTTCTCTGTCCCCCTCCCCCGTCCCTGTGTTTTTGGTCCTACACATTGTGGGTTACCTGGAGGTTATTCCGGGGATCAACGCCCCCGCGGCCCGGTCCATGACCAGGCCTCCCGATGGATCAGGGCCTGATCAACTAGGCTGTTACTGCTGGCCGCACGCAGTCCGACGTACGAGCCACAGCCCGGCTGATCCGGCCTGACTTTAGGTATCTGTTCTTAGCTCTCCTGCAGAACTCCGTTTTTGCTCCACTTATACTATTACGACTATCACTTTCCTATTACTGCTTCTAGCGCTGTATAGCCCTTGTGGCTTAGCGCTTCTTTTTGATTATAATAACTATTACTGCTTCTGCCTTCTACCTTTTCTACTCTTACTATTGCCTCCCTTCTCCCCTGTCTGTCTCTTTTGGCAAAAAAAAAAAAAACTACTCCCCCTACTTTCAATTACCTCTACGTACTACTATTACTACCAGCACTACCACTACTTCTCGTTCTTCCTATCTTCCTCCCGTCCGTCTCCTCCTCACATATGTATACAGGCTCGCTCACTCTCTTCTGTCATTGTGACTTGTGAATGGTCAAATTCGGACCGAAACGTCGTCATAAGCTTTACTTTCCCCTATGTACGAGTTATTTGTGTACCCATACCTGGTCGGGAGAAGAGTTGAGGGTGAAGTGACCTACCTCACTCCAGCCAACCAGCTGGTAGAGGTAATGTTACCAGGAAGCGGAACCATAACCATACCAGAAGGTTCAGGAGACCCCTGCAACAGTAAACCTGCCCAATAGATGGCGCTACCTAATGATCACTCTGGGCCTGCCAATTGAGGGTTAAATCTGACGAAAATCGCATGAAAGCTGGAAATAAACTTAGAATAATTTTCAGGGTTCCCCACCCTTACATTTATTATTATTATTATTATTATTATTATTATTATTATTATTATTATTATTATTGTTATTTATCATCGGTATTATTATTATTATTATTATGACTTGAGAATTCACATTGTTAATCCTCTTCTCATTACTGTGTGTTACGATTCCATCGATTCCATAGGTAATTTAATAGAGATAGTGAAACAAGAGTTAATTTTGAGGTGTTCATTCCTTGAACTAAATGGTCCCTTAATCCACTGTATGTCTTCTCGGAGAAAATCTGGAATATTAAATGCCTTATTGTTATTATTTAAAAAATCTATAGGAATTATAGGATCGAACGGATATGTGATAACTTTTACAGCGATTTGTGATGTTTTTAACAACCTCAAGATCTATGTTAGTGTCTTTAACAACCTCAAGATCTATGTTAGCGTCTTTAACGACCTCTAGAACAATGTCTTTAATGATTTGAAGATCTATGCTAGCGTCTTTAAGGGCCTCAGGATCTTTGCTAGTGTCTTTAACGACCTCAAGATCTTTGCTAGAGTCTTTAATGACATTAGAATCTTTGCTAGCGTCTTAAACGATATCAAGATCATTGCTAGCGTCTTTAACGACCTCAAGATCTTTGCTGGCTTCTTTTACGACCTCGAGATCTTTGCTAGCGTCTTTAACGACCTTAAGATCTTTGCTAGCTTCTTTTACGACCTCAAGATGTTTGTTGGCTTCTTTTACGACCTCGAGATCTTTGCTAGCGTCTTTAACGACCTCAAGATCTATGCTAGTGGGTTTATTTAGACTATAACGGAAGCAGCAAAGTTGTGAAAATTTTTTGGACTGTTAAATTAATGAGAGGTGAAAGTTGGAAATGCAGCAGGGAATTCATTTTTCCCTTGTAAAGAAGAGTATAAAAGACGAGGGTATAATGCCCTGTGAATACTCATCGCCGGAGCCATAACAACGCTGCCACCACCAACTCTGCGAAAAATAATGGAAAGGCGATCTTGAAGACCTGTTGATTCCTTGTTCCTCTTGGTGTTTTTTTCTTTCCGTATGAAAAAAATAAAGATGAGAAAAAATTATTTTCTTACTCTCAGTTCTCAGTGTTTTCTCTCTTGGGAAAATACTCAGTGAAACATGTACAAACGAAGTAACATGAGCGGTCCAAGACTCCATTTTGCTACCAGCAGATACAAATATTGCCGCAATAAGTGTAAAAGTCTTGGGTCACAGGTAAATGAATAACACTTTAATAAAGCTAAATTTCGTATCACAGAATGATGCTACCTACTTAAACCTTTCTAAGAAGACGAAATAACTGAACTATGAGAAGGCGCTTATGATAATCTATTTCCTAGAAGACTGTGTGTGTGTGTGTGTGTGTGTGTGTGTGTGTGTGTGTGTGTGTGTGTGTGTGTGTGTGTTTTAATAAAATAGAAGGTATACACAAATATATCCAAATTAAATCAGAGAGCAACAGTATTTATCCAGAGTGTTTTTAACGTGTGTTCGGTATTACTCTCAATCCTGATAATTTATTCCACGTGTTTACCACTCGATTAATGAAAAAATGTTTCGCTTCATTGGAGGTAAATTGTGAGCCTTTAATTGTAAAATAGCGGGCCTATCATTGTGAAATAACGAATCTATGTTGTAATATAGCGAGCCTGTAATTGTAAAACAACAGTCGTGTAATTGTGAAACTGATTTTACAATTGCAAAATAGAGTCTATAACTGACAAGTTGTTCCTCTATAATTGTTAAATAACTTCCCTATAATTGTTAAATACTAGCCTAGAACTGTTACATAGCTACCCTTATAATTGTTAAATAGCTACGCTATAACTGTTAAATAGCTAGGCTATAACTGTTAAATAGCTAGGCTATAACTGGTTAATAGCTAGTCTATAAGTGCTAAAATAGCTAGCCTATAACTGTTAAATAGCTAGCCTATAACTGTTAAATAGCTAGGCTATAACTGTTAAATAGCTAGGCTATAACTGGTTAATAGCTAGTCTATAAGTGCTAAAATAGCTAGCCTATAACTGTTAAATAGCTAGCCTATAACTGTTAAATAGCTAGGCTATAACTGGTTAATAGCTAGTCTATAAGTGCTAAAATAGCTAGCCTATAACTGTTAAATAGCTAGCCTGTAACTATTAAATAGCTAGCCTATAACTGTTAAATAGCTAGCCTGTAACTATTAAATAGCTAGCATATAACTGTAAGATAACAATGGTCTACCATTACTCGACTCCTGAGGTCGTCCTTCCTGCTGCCATGACGCA